AGACAGGGAAAATTACGAAGATCAAAGCTGACAATTACAAATAAGAAATGAGAGACTAAAAGAGAGTCAAGAAACCCTGATTCATATCACTTCCACTAGATAGTTGCACAGCTAGCATGTTAAACAGAGCTCTAACTAATACAAGACTGAATAGATATCTCATGCTATCAACTAAATAGAAAGAACTAGTAGCCCTCACAGTACTGACTTTCGCAATTCAGCTGCACCATGTGCAAAGTGACATCTTTCTCCAAAAGTGCAACTTCCCTTTGCAAAATTGTCGCACAACTTTGTCTTGTAGTTGCTTCCCGCATGCCCTTGACCACCAGGCACACCAGGCGTTTTCACAGGACCTGGGCCCGGACCAAGGCTGGTGATTAACTCTCTAACCATTGCACTGGCTTGTTTAATTTGCTCAAACGATCCTTCAAGCTCGATGTTCCTGAGGGTGGGATCTGACTCATGCTCCCGAATAGAAAGTTTTGCTCCGGTTCGACGACATATCTGCTTGGAGTGCACACCACCCTTCCCAATTATGGCTCCTGCAAGGGAAGCATCAACACTAATTTTTGCAGTGGCTGAGGCACCAAAGCTAGCAGCAGGACCTGATGGGGGTAGTGGCTCCATCCGACTGCCCATACGACCAGGAATAGATGCCATGGCACGAGGATCATCATGAGATGGAGCAATAGGCTTTCCAAGTTCCCAGTCTCCATGTGCAAAATGACATTTGTCACCAAACTTGCAACCTTCAGCGCTACTAAATCTGTTGCACAAGCGAGTTTTGACTGCAGAGGGAGATCCATTTGGAATGGTAGCCGATGCTGCCATGTTTCTAGAAGCTGGTGGAACAGCTGGTGAAAGGTTCATTATCTGGGCGACCGCATTGTAACCTCCAGGAACATAGTGCAGGAAGTGGCAGCTCTCACCAAATGGACAACCTGCAGTGCTGCAATTAAAAGCAAGACAGGATTAGATAAAGCTTAGATGAATCCATGAGGTCAGCTAATATGAATCTATCAAAAGAAGATGAACTAGACATGCTTCACTAGCATTAGATGTCGTAGCTCTAAACTCAAACTATCAGAAAACTCAGAAATCAAGCTAAAGCAAGCACAGAGCAAATATCTAGAATTAAAAGCAGCCTGAGGAAAGCAGTTCCCTACTATGTTTACTATTAGAGTTTAGTGGTAGTACACCACAAACAATGGAATGTGTCTTGCTTATTTCAGGGTGGATACTTAAAGGCCAAGTAATACAACTAAAGCTTCTTTCTAGATTAGCTACCGGTTCTCTCTTTTGCATTTATATGCACAGCCAACAAAATAAACCAGAAAATCTTCATCCAAATCAGAAAAGAATAAATGCGTATCAGAGTTGAAAAGCTATTGATATCAATATGACCAATCAAAAGTAATGCCCTCACAACACCATAATTTAATAATGGGATATAAGAACTAAAAAGGGAGTTCCAATCACAAAATTTGACATGAATACATCATACCTGAATTCCGTCATACTTTGACTTAACTTATAATAATGCGAGCAACTTACCAATGGATTCAATAACAGTACCAATTCCGAAAAATTTATCATTTAATTCAATCTTAGGTACAAGTTTGTAAGTTATATACAAATGATAGATCTTTGATATAATTTGCCTTTATCATCAACTAACTCCAGCAAAATTGTTATAAATGTAGCCAATCTCTGTTATTCTTTGACTTGATTATGATCAAACAACAGTAATGTACCTGTAATAACTCAATACCCACATTTCATTAGCAAAATCTCAAAATTTTAACTATTATTAAGAGATTGTAAATTTAAAATTTTTGCAGGATAATCATTAGACAGAAACGATAGAAACCGAATTAAGTATAATTTAAATTGGAAATACTAATATTTATTTAGGTGGGTATAAGAATTTTAACCTGAAAAACTTGGTGCATGGCTTCGATTTGCTTCCTACACCAGTTGATAAAGATTCCAATTCTGTTGCAAAACATTAATGAATTGATTTTTCTCAGTTACAATTTTTTTATATATATATTTTAACCAAATTACACCCCATAAATTTCACGTTATTAATTCATCAAATGGGATATTAATGAAATTTCATTACTAATAATTAAATAAATAATAATTTTCTAATACTAAGTAACATTTACCCACGCTAGTAAATATTAACAAGAAGAAAAAAAAAGTTTCATTTTTAAAGAAAAAGGGGGCAAACCTGGCTTCGATTTCTTGATGCCACCATTAACATTGAATCCAGCTTCATGCCTTCCTCTCTTACGAGTATCCATTCCAAAATTTTGTTTTAACGAAAATCACAGATCCAGATCCAAAGAACGAACAAATAAAATAATTTTCCAAATGAATGGAAAATCAAATAATATTAAGAATTTCAGGAACCCTAAAAACCTAGAAAGAGAAATATATAAAAACACAAGAGAGACAAAAACCCTAGCCCTAGAATCGGAGGGGTTTTGGGGAGGAAGGGGATGAGGAAGCTAAAAGCTAAAGCCGATGCGACGAGAGTGGGAAAAAGGTTGAAAGATAGTGATATTTAATAGCGACGATTTTTATTTTTTTTTACGGAAAGTAACAATTATTGGGTGGATTTTGTAATAAGGGTTTAAATGCAGTTAATTGCTGAGGCTGGATTCCGCAAGTTGGCCGACTTGTTGTCACGCTGCTGTCACGTGCTCCAAAATCGAAAGGGCAGGATTTTGTTTGACGTCAGAAAGAATCTAAGCCACTTTTGGTTCTTTTGGATGAGCCCAATTCTCTTGGGTCTAAGCCTGGCTGATTTTATAATGAACCATTCAAGTCCAGCCCATAAGGAAAACTAATTGGCCCAAATGTATTTTTTTTAGATCTAATTCTCTTTTACGATAATCTTAAAAATATATAAAATATATTTTTTTTTATTTAAGATTTTTCTATGTTTAATAATTACTTTAAATTTTAATTAATTTGAAGTTAAATTAAGTCAGATTTCATAAAAAAAATAAATTTTTTTAAAATTTATTTTTTTTATTCATAAAATTGAAAATTAAAATCTTATTTAAAAAAATCGAACTCTTTCGTTACTTTGAACTCCTTTAACTATTCAGATCAACGGATGTCAATAATCTTAAAAATGTATATTTTCTTTTTAACTTGGTCTCAAGCTACATTTTACTCCCAATACTCATGTTAATGCGATATTAATTGGTTCTGGAATTGGCTTCTTGGGGAACAACTGCCAAACAAATTCCGAGGAATTTCCAAACGTAGGTTTACCCCAAACCGTAAGCCAAAGACCACCCAGGGTCAATTGTGCAGATGGGCAAATCAGTCTTTTCGTGCGGGCGCCAAAACCAAAACTCTCTCCTCGACATTTCCAAAGCTCCCCAGTCCCCCCCTCCCAAGTCCCAACTATTCGAAATCAAAACTTCATCAAACCACTTCGATTTCATCGAAACCCCAAAGACAAGACGCAACCACATTTATAATCACAACAAACACTTGACATTTAAAGCAAAACCCAAATCTTCTCTCCGTCTCCATTACCCTTTTTCTTCTTCACTTTGGTGAGTTTTCGGATCTTTCAATGTTATACTGTTCTTTCAGTTTTCTTGGGTCTCGTTATTTCTTCTTCTATAATCACTGTGAGACAAATGTTGTTTTGAACTTGATCTTCTGTTTTGTTTTCATGTTGCTTGACCATTTAGAGAAGCTAATATGAGAAATCTCCTGTTTTCATTTTTGATTGCTGAGAAATGTGATGAAAATAAGCAATGATCTGTTACATGTCAGATTATTGCACCACACAATGTTCAAACTATTTCTGGAAGTAGAAACCATAATATGGGAAACCAAGCTGATCCCTTATAGGATTTACCTTTTAAAATGATTATAGTTTTGATTTATACATTGCAAGCTAATTAGAATTGGGTGTTTGAGATGCCATTATTGATTATTGGAAGGAGTTTTTAACTTACAATCTGTTTACATATCCAAACTTTTGAAGAGGGGGTGTAGTTGTCTTTTTATTCTATTTAGCTAAGATCCTTGCTGATGATGATGCTTAAAAGTTGTCTTTCTATGAACAGTGTTATTATGTGTTTCCATTGATTACATAAATGTGCTTCTCGATCTTGCAGAATTTTATTAATATCTGGTGATTCAAATTAAAAAAGAGATGGTAACAGCTGCAGCTCCTGGCACGTACATGGCCACTATTAAGACTTGTATTTCTTCTTCTTCTTCTCGTAAAATGCTTGTCTCAGGTGCCATGAACATCAGCACTGAGCATAAAGAGGCACCCTGGACAAGGCTTGCAAGCTCCTCTCACATCTCATCAAGGCAGCCATTCCTCCAGAGGATTACATCAGGACCCGTGAAATTTGAAAAGTTTGTTACGAGAGCTATGTCTGAGACAAATGACAACAAACCTTTGCCAGGACTGCCTGTTGATTTGCGAGGTCATCCATCTTCCCCCCCCCCCCCACGCCCCTTCATTTTCCAAAGTTTGATTTTAATATGTTTCATTTTCTTCATAGATTTTACCTTTCTGTTACTGCTTGTGTCTTTCTATGGTCAGAAAAAGTATGACATTTGGTATATATATTCTTGTATCAAGCATGTTTTGCCACCATCATCTAAGCATTAATTCAAAAGCCTACTTGTATTGGTCCTAAATGAAATCATGAAACAACATTGAACACAGATAGACCACATGGTCTTGTGTATAATTTTCACCATGTGCTCATGTTTTTTGAACCTGAAAAACTTCTTCAATGGGTCTTGTCCTGACTCAAAAGCACATAAGGCACAAAACTTATCTTGAGGTACTAACATAACCACTTGAACATCTAACATGAGTCATCCGTTAGCAGGTAAAAGAGCATTTATAGCTGGTGTTGCTGATGACAATGGATATGGTTGGGCAATAGCAAAATCTCTTGCTGCTGCTGGAGCTGAAATTCTTGTTGGGACGTGGGTGCCTGTATGTATCTTGATCCAACTTAATTGGTCATTTAGAAACAGAGATTCTCATTTAATGTCAAAGTTTTATTGTTTCTTAAAATTACATCTATCCATGCAGGCACTCAACATATTTGAGAGCAGTCTAAGACGTGGGAAATTTGACGAATCACGCATGTAAGAACAAATGGGGCCTTTACTGATTGCATATATTTTTATATTTGTTGAACTCTCCCTTACACTGTGTGAATTGGAATTCAACTTTTCTAGATTGCCGGATGGATCGTTAATGGAAATCACAAAAGTTTATCCAATGGATGCTGTTTATGACTGTCCTGAGGATGTTCCTGAAGATGTAAGCTTTCTCTCCATTTAGTTTCTAGAAGATGGCAAATATTAATTTTTGATATCCTAATTTTTTGGTTTCATGTAGGTCAAAACAAATAAACGCTATTCAGGGTCTTCAAATTGGACGGTTCAGGTAAAACAGTTTTTGTTCAAACTCAACCTCATAATATGTAAACTTTAAGTTGCCTAGGCAGCTCTTAGGACAGATAAAATCATTCTTTTGATTTAGGTGCATATTCTCAATCTTTCAGTGCCAGTGAGTTTTCCAAAATCCATTTCTGCTGCATGGTATACTCAACTTTTGATATTGAACCAAGCAGCAAAAATACCTGCATGGTTTAATGAACTGCATTGTTATGTCCTAAATAGTTAGAGCAGTATAAATCACAATGTTCAGATTTGCGCAGCTTTCCTTTCCTTATGCTACATTGGCCAGAAAAAGGTTGGAATTTGAGTCCATTTAGTTAAATTAAATGTATGGATGGATCATGTATTGCTAGGGATCCATGGCTTCACCTATTAATTAGGTGTCAAAATCATTTGGTTTTCACAAAACAGAGTGTCCTACTTGACCATAATCATATGCAATCTATTATTATTATTATTATTTTTTAAAGGGCTCCTCAAGCTGCAAACTTTTTATTCTAGATATTTATATTCAAAGACTTGGACGTTTAGCTGTAATCTTTGGAATGCATCAAGTTTATGATGGTTCTCCAGTTCAGTGATTAAAATGCCTCTTTATTTGGTTAAGGAATGGTACCACAACTGACCACGTTGTGTTAATGCCGCACAGGAGCTTGTTGAATCTGTGAAAAAGGATTTTGGTAGTATTGACATTCTTGTTCACTCACTTGCAAATGGACCAGAGGTGTGGTGTTCTTCTCTTTCATACTTCAGTGCTGCTTTTCTTAAATATTGTCAAGGTACTTATCTATTTTTTACCTACATTGGTAGGTAAGCAAACCACTTCTAGAGACATCAAGAAATGGATATCTTGCTGCCCTATCTGCATCAAGTTACTCTTTTATTTCTATACTCAAACACTTTCTTCCAATAATGAATCCAGGCATGTTTCTCATCCAATCTCACCCTATTTTCTTTCTTAACAATCCATGGAAACAAACATGCAATTTTTGCTTGAATTTAAGCTTGTTTATTGACGCTGCAGGAGGTGCTTCGATTTCTCTAACATACATTGCTTCTGAAAGAATAATCCCAGGGTATGTTGCCATATATTTTTCCCATTTAAGACATCTTTCTTATAAATATATTCTTTACATTTTATCATGTCATTCTATGGGCAGATATGGTGGAGGCATGAGTTCAGCTAAGGCTGCTTTGGAGAGTGATACACGTGTGAGTTTTTCCTTTTGTGTAGTGTCTGGGCCTCGGTTTTTGTTTTTACCTTTTCGGCTTGCCATATTTAGCATCTCTTTCGGCTTTGTCCAAGTATTGGTAACTTTGTGTTTGCTTGATGCAGGTGCTGGCTTTTGAAGCAGGAAGAAAACACAAAGTCAGAGTCAACACAATATCTGCAGGTCAATAACTTATTAATAAGAAAATACCCCCCCCCCCCCCTCACATCCCAACACACAAACATGCACGCATGAAAAAGGATTAAGCATACTTGGTGTTGTTTATATCAATCCCCTCACGAAAAAATGTCAGGCCCATTGAGGAGTAGAGCTGCGAAAGCAATTGGATTCATTGACATGATGATCGATTACTCGCTGGCTAATGCACCCCTACAGAAAGAACTATCAGCAGGTAAGTCTCCAACTACACATATATCTGCATGTCGTGGCACTAGAAATGAAGAATTGCCATTTTAACTTTCTCTCAATCAAGAAAGTTTAATTTAATTATATCTGAAATTTAAAACTAAATTTTTTTATACTATAATTTTTCGGGTAAATAGATGGAGATCATAAAGTGTAATGATTAAAGCACAACAATGTGCCTTGCTGCCTATATATCTTTGAATTTATTGTCTCAATTATAACTGGACAGAGGAAGTGGGAAATGCTGCTGCCTTTCTGGCGTCCCCGTTGGCTTCAGCTGTCACTGGAGCTGTTGTCTACGTTGATAATGGTCTAAATGCAATGGGAGTGGGAGTTGACAGTCCAATATTTGCGAATCTTGACATTCCAAAAGATAACTGAAGCTTGGGTTTTAAGACAAGGAAAAGTTTCGCCTCGTATGGTCTTGAAATTTTTTATTTTGCAAAAATAAAATGTTCTTTTTCCCAATCGTTTTACAAGGAAGACAAACATGTTTAGGCATCTACCCTTTCATTGATAGGGCAATTAAATCTGTAGTTCAACCGTTCCATTTCAATTTTCTTTTCAACATCATATGCAACAGGATGAATTTCTCCTTTCAGTTTATTCTTAAAGACAAATGCTGAAATTGCAGACGGCATTTGTCCAGCAGTGTCACAATTTTCAGGGTATATGTGTGGTATCCTGAAAGAATGTCTGCCACTTGAACCATTCAATAATAACTTATCATCTCTCTAAAAGCCCGAAACACATTTACAAACTTATACATAAGAATTCCAAGCAAGTAAATCAAACTAGTAGAAAACAATCTTTTCTTTGTGCCATCATCATCGCTTAGCGCACCCTAGCAGTGTTAATGAAACCCAGAAAATTTCGTTGAGAAAATGCCGTACAAGTGTCTGCATTCACCTTCAGAATTAGCTAACCTTTCATTTCCGCATCGTAATGGTAGCACATGTTTGTTCTGTGTCATTACTCTGAGGTGAATCTTCCACCGTTGACTGTTCCCGTAAAACCAAGCCATGGTTTCTGGAAAGCTTTCTAATTGGTGTTATAGATACTGCTGCTTCAGAACATACATCAACTTGACCCCTATTAGGCATCATTTCTTGCCCGATCTCAACATAATTTGTCATCAGCTACGAAAATGCAAAAAGAAACATTCAGGCAAATGGAAAAAATTAGATTTAGGGGAGTATAATTTAAGCAGTCAAGAATTATTTCCTCCCATTCAAATAAATTGAAGAAAAAGAAATGAAAAGAAAGTGGTATATTGCCTTATGTCAATCTACAAATTCGACAAATACAAACCCATTCTCTTAAGTTTGAAATGGTGAAAACCAGCAGCTCCATGATAGACAGAAAGTTGACAGCTCTTTTGCATAAAGACTTTTGATGTATGAAGCCATGTTTATGAGGAAGCAATTCAATAGTAAATCTCAAAAAAAAAAAAAAAAAAAAAAAAAAGAATTTCCCAGTACCTTCCAATCCTTAAAATCAAATCTGAAGACAAAGTGGTTGTAAACAACCTCTTTTGATGCAACTAACCTGGCAGCAGGAGCATTCCTTGGTGCTGACCAAAAAAAAAAAAAAGAACAAAAAAGAATGTTATATTTAAAAATGAAAATAACACAAGCTTGGAAAGGGGACATAAGCAGACATCCCGAAGTGACTTACAGACTAGATGAAAGCCTTTCTCATCCATTTTTATCTCAGCGCGCCCATCTTTAACTAGAAATGACAGGGCAAATAGATTTTCCACTGTTTGTGCAAAAGAATTCCTATTCAATACTAAATATTCAAGCTTCACTCTTCTATGCTTCCTCAGAATGTCAAACATGGTTGACATATTACCATCAGTCTCTGTCCTCGTGTGCGTACCGGTATCATCAACCTGCATAAATTTGACAAAGACAGACCCAAATGAGGAGTATGCAAAAAAGTTGCATTAGCACATGTTACACATTAACAATAGTGTTAAAGAAGAGTTAACTGCCAATATTTGACGAGAAATGCAAACTAGTATGTACAATGACCTGAACTTAATTCCATTAGAAGGTAAATTTAATTGAATCAATCGTCCACATTCTAACAGGAAAAATCATCTTCGGATAACACTGCTTCTATAGTTATTAGCAATGATTGCAGCTTGAACAACAACTCTTACCTCTGCAGGCTGCACATTTTCTGCAGGTCTCATACGTTTTCTGCGAACACTGGCTCTCCGTTGCTTTAGTTGCGTATCCATAGGCCCAATCCTGAAGGAGTAAAAATAATAAATACACATTTTATTCTAATCTAAAAGATTGAGTAATCTATCTAACTTTGAATATTACTTACAAAAAAAAATGATAAATACAAAACTATGTAAAATTTAAGTACAGAATTATACTCAAATTGCAATTACATGGTACGACATCCAGGACTGCTCCTAAAAACATGTGAGACTTCAATTCCAATCTTCTTCCAATCTATTAAGGTTCTGCCATCCTGACTATTACTACTATCACCACCTAGTCCACTTTGTTTTGCAAAGTCTCCAAGAAGACAGTTAACGAAATCAGCAACAGTAATCCCATCACCATTTGTTGCTTTGACAGAGGTAACCAAGGTGTTGGCAATGTCCAATAGTGCCTCAGCATCAGCAATTTGTTCTCTAGGTTTCTGCACTGAAATTCACATGAAAGACCCAAAAAAGGGAAACAAATCCAGTAACTCCCAGTGATGAAACCAAAAATAATGAAAAACATTTCACATGATGGAGAAAAAAATCCAGAGACAATACCATGTTGATGTAAGCTCTCTACTTCATTAAAAATTGAGTTGAATTTAGCAGAATCAGTCCTTGAAATATCATCTCTTTCATCTGCAAAAAGGGTTAACAAAATTCCCCATTTAAAATTATAATAGTAAATGGGAACCAAATTCAGAATCAAATTACGATTTTTCTTTTACTTCAACCACAATATTAACCATTGCTAAGTACAGAACTTCATTGATTTCCCGCTCATTTTCTCCCAAACCAAACCGAAGCTAAAACTCTAAAACAGAGACAAAAAATTAAGAATAATGAAAAGAAAAATAAAAAAGCGAAATTACCGAAAATAAGAGTCTTAACAGCGAGATAACGAGAACGAAGAGTTCTACGGTCACTAACATGTTGATGATCGGAATCGTTAGCTTCAGTTTCACTACTATTGCTATTACTACAAACTATTTCACGCTTTATGATTCGAGCCATGGCCTTTTCGCTTTCATTGATTCTCTCGATGAAACAAAATAAAATGGAAATCAAGGAAGATTTAATAAAAAATAAAACAAAAAAAAAAACCCTAAAATTATAAAAGGCGAAACATGCTTCGATTGCGTGTGTTAGAAGCTTTTAAAGAAAAAACCACCCGATAGATTAGAAATTCGAAGAGTCGTTTTTCACTTATTATTATTTTAATTATTTCTCCACTCGTCTCTTCCTCTCCTGTGCTTTGTCGATGAGTTTGGTTGTTAATATATGGATTTTTTTAAAGTGACTTAATTTGCATATGGTTTACATTATTTACATTATTTATTTCAATGAAAATAAAAGAGATCATCCAACCGCAAGGTCTCATATTTTATTACTTTAAAAACATAAAGAGTGTCCAAAAACCTTAAATATTACCGTTTCAAGTTTTGGTATTTTTATTTTTTTTTAGTTTTTCTTAAAAATCCCTTTCCTTATTTTTGGGCAATTGGTGAAATGTAGTTATAACGTAAAAGACCGCCCCGTTACTAGAGGTGTAATCCATTTAAGCCAAGTCCATATAATGAAAATTTTAAGTACAAACTTGATTCAAAATTTATTATTTAAAAATTATTCAAAATTAATCAATTTTTAAAATTTAAATAAAAACTAAATTATGTGAACTCATTTATTTATTTTTATTTAATAAAAATGAGTTTAATTTTTATATTCAATTTTAATTTTGATTATATATTTAAATTCGAATTCAAATTCAAATTAATATATATAATCATAAAATAATAATTTTTTAATTAAAATAATTAAAATAATAATTTTTTAGTATTTAAACTTAATTTACTTAATAAATTAAATTATTTAAAATAAAATTTAAATATAATTTGATAATATTTAAATCAAATTTAAATAATTTATAAATATTAATATATCATTTATATTTTTATCTATAACTAATGCTAACTAACAGTTTGCTTAAAATCTATGGGGTGGGTTAACTTTATACAAATTTAAATACTGAATTATTTATAAACAACGGATGGAAAATAAAATGACATTTGAAAACGATTTTTAAGTTTTTGAAATTAAAAAAAACAACTTAGTTTGCATAATACATACAATACTCCAAACCCGCAGCCTTTTCCTTGTTTAATCAATCATCTTTGGTGGTAGCCATGGCTTTATAGATCACAATCATCCACCGTTACCCCCCTAATCCCCCTTTCCATTCCTCATATTTACGCCCCCAACCTGAATTCTCCTTTCCCTTACTCTTTTCGTAATTTCCTGAAAATTTTATGGCAAAAGGTAACGTACTTTCCCAATTTTTAAGCCCACGACCAAAGCATAAACCATGAAACCCTCCCCGAATCCCATCCAGGCTCCAGCCATAATTTGGAGGAATATCAGCTAAATATTTTTAAAAAAATTTCCTATAAATTCAAAACCCCCTAAGACTCCAATCTTCGGTGTCTGCTCAAAAAGGTTTTTTTTTTTTTTTTTTTCAATCCAAATTTCAAATTAGGGTTTTGAGGAAAAACAATGAAAGCTTCATTGAAATTTCGTGAAGAGAAAAGGCCAGTATTGAGAGCGAAAATACCTCTAAACATTTTAGGCTTGCCGTTTCAATCAGGAATCGTCGCCGGCGAATCCAAGGAGCTAACATTAAATCTTTCTACTTTCTTTGAATCTGGACCCTCCATCAAGTTCGCTTACCGTCCAAATGATCCCTGGAACCCTTTCTCTCTTATCGTCAAGACCGGAACCGGACCCTTCGGTTCACCCATCTCTAGCTCTATGCTTATGAGCGCTGAGTTTAACCTTCTTGGCCGTGGAAACCCTAGCTTTAGGCTTCACTTCAAGCCTCAGTTTGGGAATTTCTCGATCAAGAAGTCAGAGTCTTCGGTTTTTGATAAAGTCGTGAAGCCGAGGAATAGCGCCGTTTTGGAGGATGATTCGTCGGTTGAGGTGGTGGATTCGCCGCCGTTAAACGGCGGCTCAGCCGGTTTCTTTGCCGAGAAGAGGAAACTCGAGGCTTTGAGTTCGGGAGATATCGCGGGGATTCTGTCCGGAATGGAGGTAGCGGCGAGGACGGCGGTGCCTGTGAAGGGAAAGGCAATGGTGAAATTCCGGTGGGGAATGAGGATTCCGTCGGAGATGAAGAGTGGCGTCAGTGGAACCGGTGATCCAACGGCTGGGAATTCGTTTAGGAAGATTCCGTTTTTGGTGATGGATAAGATCGGGATCGAACACGTGGACAGTTCTGATTCGAAGCAGGCTATATCGACAGCCAGCAAGGCGGGTCCAGAGGTGGATACGAATGCGGAGGTGGCGGAAGCTTGTTACACAGTTAAGCGTCAGCTGGAAGCTTTGCAAGCTGAGAATGGGTTATTGAAGAGAGCCGTGGAGGATCTCAGGCGAGAAATCTCCGGCGGGAAATTCGGGGATTTGAATCAAGGGAAATATAGAGAAATTGAAAGAAATGGCATTAATAAATCAAAAATGGAGAGAAGACACGGTGAGAAGAAATCGATGGAGGCGGATGTGAATGAAGAATTGAAGAAGAAACTGAAGGGAGCCACTGGTGCTTGAATTCGTCGAAATTAAATGTAAGCTTTGGTTAGTGTTTTTACTGAGCCTTTGTGCTTGGATTAGTTAATTATACGGACAATATAATCAATTTTGTGAGTTTTGTTTAGAATATAATATGAAATTTGCTAGTATTAAATCTGTGGGTGGTTAGTGAATAATTCAATTGTAAATTTCTTAATGGATTGGTTTATTTGGTTCCTCCAGCCCTTAGCCAAAGATCAAAAGCAAAAATGAGTGAACTCCTTTATTGTTTACGTGAAGCTTAGACCTCAGGGTATATCCGGAAAGACAATGGACAAAGATGGACCCACAAGTAAGGACATAAATGATATATTAGTATTCGTAAGTTACTCGATCTCGATTCGAATAAAATTTAAATTCGATTCGATTATTATCGAGTCGAACTCGAATTCGAGTAACTCGATTTATCGATCGAGCTGAGTTCGAGTATTCTTATATCCGATTTGAATAATTCGTGAGCTTAATCGAGTTTTTATATTTAAATATGTTTTATTATTTTAATTAATAAAATATTTCGAATTCGAGTTTGAGTTTAAGCACAAATAATCGAGTTCTTGTCGAATATAAAAATCGAGTTTATTTTTACATATTAATCAAGTTTAATCAAGCGAGTTCGAGTAGTTTGATTTCGATCACGAATCGAGCTGGAGCTTGAAAAATGAAACTCAATCGAATTTGAATCAAGTATCGAGTCGCGAGTTAAGAGTTGAGCTCGAATTCGAGTTTCTCACTATATCAATCAGATTCGATTCGATTACATTCCTATGCACAAATCAAAATATATAAGATTTGAAAATAGAGCAACAACGAAAAATAAAGATAGATTACCCTTCACTGAACGTTTGTTTAGACCTTCGAATTTATAAATAAGCATTGGGAGATCATTATAAAACAATAAGGACAATGCTGAATTGACGTGACATTAAATATATGAGATCGATTTATTGACACAAATATCAAAATTATTTTTAATTATTTATTGAAAGCTTCTGACCAAAAAAAATAATTTATTATACCCTTTTAACTTGTAAATGCCTTCAACAATTATCTTTCCTTTATCTTCAATTCCACCGTTAACATCCGATGTCTTAACAAAGGAGTAGGTTTCCTCTCACAATGCATGACATTAGTTTTTCGTTTTTCAATGAGATGAAATTTGGCCCTTTTTAGCTGGAATCCCATCCAACATTTCCTTGTCTTTTTGATCTTGTAGCCCATTATAAAAGGAAATGCCAAGGGTTTGAGCCAGAAAGGAAATGGCGTACCTTCCTTCCAGTGTTTCCTGATTCCAGGACTTGCCTCCTCAATGCTTCAATCTCAAATTCGTCTAACAAATCTTCCACTTCATAACCAGCACCTTTGAGCTTTTCTAGCCAAAGGCTTGGCTCATGGATACGAGCCTGTTGTTCTTCAGCATCCAGGAGTACAGCTTTGATAGCAGTTAGCATCTCTTATCTGATTTCTTTTGTACTAAAAAGAATGCAGTGATTCAATTTATATGTATTGGAAATTTGGAATACGTGGTTTTAAGTTAGCTATATGACATGTGGTAGCCTAAGTTGAATGATTCCCAAAAAAAGAAAAAACCAGAACAATTGGTGTTATTTCTCAACAGATTTCACTTGGGCTCATTTTCAATTAGCCCACTTAGGAGTCTTTTTCTTTTCTTGGGTGGGATCCTTGTATAGGTTACTTGCTTCCTAGCCTAAAAGAATCATGCAAACTTCGTTTGAGGTGCAACGACTAGGAGCCCATCTTTATTTTTTTTTTTTAATTAAAAGATTTTTGATATCTCAAATATTTTTATTTTGCAATATTAATAAATATGAACTTTAGTTTTAATATGTAAAATTTTTTTAATTTTAATGATTTAAATTTAATTTAAATAAATCTAATTAAATAAAAAAAATATCAGTCTTAAAGTTACAGGAATTCACAAAAAATATAGCATCGTATCTATTCGATTTACTCAACAATAATTCTTTTGGCTTATTTAACTTTGTACCAAATTAGAAAAAAAAATTTAAATTTTATAAAATAAAAAATAAAAGGGCTAAACAGTAATTTGAAGGGCAAAAGGAAAAACAAGTCATCGTTGAACTCGTACAAACAACGTCCTCGAGATCAGTAAAAAAGGCAGCCGAGCCGAACTATAAAAGCACACAAAGAAAGAAAAAATGAAACAACAACAACAACGATTAAGCCCTAGCTTATCTGAGTAGCTATTCCTTTTCTTTTTTATCTTTGAAATTCCAAAAAGAACATAAACGAATCATAGAAAAGATTATTTTAAAAAAAAAATTTATTATTCAGAAAAGAGACTGTTATTATTATGAAATCGTGATCGATACTATTTTTTTTTTCCTTTTTTGGTTCATGGCTAGACACGATAACTTTCCCGAGAAACAAACATGGGGTACGTGGGAGGAGCTTTTACTTGCCTGCGCCGTTCATCGTTACGGCAGCGACAGTTGGGACTCTGTTGCTATGGAACTCCAGAAACGAACTTCCACGCTCCAGCACCTTTTCGTTACTCCTCTGGCTTGTCAACAGAAGTTTGAAGACCTTAAACGCCGTTTCTCTGAAAACGACGTCGGAGGATGCGATGCAAAAACTACTAATAACAACATCTCCACCGCCGCCGTTCCTTGGCTTGATCAGCTCCGAAAGCTCCGCGTTGCTGAACTCCGTCGCGAAGTTCAACAATATGACCTCTCCATCGTGTAAATGATTACTACGAAATTAAGTTTTTTTTTTAAATTAAATTATTTCCTTTTTAGGGTAAAAATCGAATTTTTTTTGCTTTTTTTACAGGTCGTTGCAATTGAAGGTTCAGAGATTGAAAGAAGAGAGAGAACATAGCTTAAGAGAGAACGGAAAAGTAACTGAAAAATTGGATCTGGAGAGAGAGAAGGAAAGTGAGAAAAAGGACGAAGAAATCGAACCGGTGGATCAAACCCGAAAACCGGTTCACGGCGGGGAAGAGTCCGACCGGGAGAATCGTTCAGTAAACGAGTCGAATTCTACAGATCCGAAGGATGAGAGTCCAGAAACCGGGCCAGAGGAAGCGAAGGTTGAACCGGAACCGGTCGAGCCGGAAGTATGTGAAAAGGCGAAGGTGGAGAACGACAAGCCAGCAGGAGAGGATTCGTGCAACGGGAGCTGTGATAGTGTGGCGAAGCAATCGGCTGAAAACTCGGAGCGAGTTGACCCGAGGGGGGAACCTGGTGACTCGCCCGAGTCAGTGGCCGAATCAAAGGGTGACGAACCTATTAGAGAGAGCAGCGATGTACAGAGCTCGGCGAGCTTGTCCGGCAAGGAAAAGAAAATTGCTGAACCGGGTGAACCGGACGAACCGGATAACGAGGAATTGGACCAATCTCCCGCCATCAAGGAGGTGTCAATTGAATCTCAGCCGTTGGTTGAGTTCCTCGAGATCCTCCGGTCTCATACGCTCGGCTCCCTCTTCGAGCGCCGACTCGAAAGCCAGGTAAAACAAAATATTCTTTTTTTTTTAAATTCGATTTAAATTTTTAAATAAATTATTAATTTCTATTTTTAATGAAAAAAGATAAGAGAAGGTTTTTATTGGATGCTACGCGGGTGAGGTATAGTATCACTGTCAGTACTGTTGGTCCAATCTGGCTTTGACGTGTCAGCACGATTAGGTTTGAAGACTTCTAACTAAATAGTTATCGGACATGGATAATTCTACTTTGATATTGGTATTTGAAAATGTTTCGACCATTTGATTTATCTAATCAGATCCTTGCAACTGATCTTGACCGCTGATCTGGACGTATTAATAACGTCTAAAGTTGGAATAATAATTAATAAGTGTCTTTTTTTTTTTAATTTCAGTGTGTTTACTGTTTAGACTTAATTTTATTTGCTGCCAATTTTTCAGTGTCTGGAATTGACGAAAACATCCCTTTCATTTTGTTTTTTTTTTCCCCCAAGTGTAATTATCTTGGCTATTAAGATTATGTGCTGCGGAACTTAGGATTAAACCAAATGGTTTACACGGCCTGCGAATTGTAATATCATGTGCTGTGGAGATGGGTTGGTTTGGGCCCATGCAGCCATGCTTGTAGATAAAGAGCAAATGAACCTTGTCTCGTGGAATTAGGTTTTTCTGCCCACAAAACTAAGAAAGATTCTTTTTCTTTTCATTTTGTCAAAAAGATTAAAAGTGAAAACCATACTCAACAATGGAAGAGAAAAAGAAAATACTATTAAAAAAAGAACTGGTAGTACCAAATTCTAACTTTATGGTCTACGCGTCATTGGCCAGTGCTCTCTTGTCTTTTTCTCGGTCCTTATTCGTTCCTAATGAGTAGGATTGTTAAATGTTAGCTCGGACTATGGTGTTCTGATTAATATTACTGATTCTGTTAAATTTCATCATGTGAATTTTTTGTCTTTTAATAATTGTTACATAGTCAATTTGCATAGAAAGACCCAAGAGTGCTTAAATTTCCAGGTCATATTCACAAGCTAGATATTTTTGGGCGTTGCCGTTATTGAAAAGGAAGAAGAGCCGTGGATTGAGGGTCCACTTGGTAACCCGATAATGAGTTGTTAGTTGGTCCATTTTTGCTGTGAACCCGCGATTACTTTTAGGGGTAATGAGTTGAGTGAAAACAAGAAATTCCATTCGGCACGCTAATTGTTTTAAGATCTACGGTGGTTAATAGGGGAGAATCTTATCCGAGAAAGAAATTGGGAGAGGCCCCTTTATTCCAATCTACATCCCAAGTTTGGTCGGGGATCAGCGTTGATTAATATTTAATTTTTTTTAGGTCTTCCATGCTGTTTGTCTTCTCCCTTTTTCTATTATACTTTTTAAATGATATTGACTAGTAAATTTTATTAGATCTTATTACTTATTGATGTTAAGGTCCCTCGCATCTAATTTACATCAATATAACATTTACACGTGTACGTATGCTGTATGTCAGAGGAAACAAAAGCACGTGTGTACCACTTGGGATTGGTTTTTATATAGTTGATTAGAAAGGTAAGGTTTAGGTAGGAAGTTAAGTTGGTCATAACGCTCTTCAAATAGAAATAAAAACCTGTGTTTTTGTTTTGTATGCTATGTGCGATCGTCTGCTCCCTTTAACCTATGTGCTCCTATTAGTTGCCATTTCTATAAATTTGTTGTTTTTGGGTGCCTGACAGATGATTAATTCAATGTGTGAATATCTTACGCTTGGCTTCGTTTTCAATACTGCAGGAAACACCAGATTACCTGAACTTGATTCGGCAACATCTTGACTTTGAGTCCATCCGCATGAGGCTTGAAGAAGGTTGGTATTCAGGATGGAAAATCAAGTTCTTTAGAGACCTGCTGTTGCTTTTAAACAATGCCATTGTTTTCTTTGGCAAGAAGTCCCCACAATACATGGCTGCTATTGAGTTTCGACAACTTGTTTCAAAGGAGATTGCTGCCCAAGCTCCTAATTCAAACGTATTGCCCAAAGAAAAATCGTCCACGCTGCCTGAATCCCAGATGCCTTTGAATCCAGAACCTGAACCATCCCTTCCCTTGTCAATGAAACCTAAATTATCAGTTCCATTGATTGCATGTCGCAAACGCAGCTCAATTACTGCAAAAGCATCAACATCATCTTCTGGACAAGAGAAAAAAAGGCAGCCAATAGCTTCATTGATGAATGAAAAACCAGCTCTAGATTGGAAGCAACAAGATAAATCGTCTGAGAAGGCCGAGGAAAGTCCTGTAACAAAGAAGAGAACAAGAGAAAGATCTGCCGCCTCAGGTGCAAGAAAAGCCAACAAAAATGTCAAGACTCGTAATAACACAAACACAACAAAAAATTCTGATACCAATAGTCATGCTGCCATTTCAAGCAAAGGTGGATCGTCAAATGAGAATTCGGAATCCAAGGGTGAGATGGAGAAGACCAACACTAATGTCAGTTCAAAGAAGCGAAGTGCGGCAAATTTCCTGAATAGGATGAGGAGCTCCTCATCCAATAATGGGCCACTAATAGAGACACTAAAGGGCGTGATTAGTTCTGATAATGGTAAAGTAGATGCAGGTGAGCAAAAGAAGAACAGCAGTAGTAAAGCTGATCAACGGAAGGATCAAATATCAGCTCCTCGGACTCGTTCTGGTGGAAAAAAAGCAAAAGAGAGGGGAAGTCCGGCAAAGAGGAGTACGGGACGACCACCAAAAAGAGCCGCAGCACCATCCCCTGCTACCCCCTCTGTTACTGCTAAGCGGGGAAGGGAAGTTGTTGAGAACGATTCCGGCACTGGACAGGCAAAGAAGCGTTCAAGAAAATGAAGGGTGTTTCCTGTATTTTTTTAAAAATATTTTTGTAAGATTGTTCAGCGCCTTGTAGCAAATTGTGTTAGGCAGTTAAATTATATTTTCTTCTACCAATTCCATGTTTCTCCAACAGGATGGAGAATGTCTAGCAACATGTCAACTAATTATAGAAAAAGCAGCTCATTTTGACTTGTACGATTTGGCCAAATGTTTTACCAGTCTGTTTGCAATTTGCAAGGGACTCTTTGCAGAAACAATCCTTCGGCACAAGTATACATTACTCATTAATTTGTTTCTATATTTTTGGCAAGGGAAATTGACAGCAGTTTGTACAATAAGACACTGACATTTTCTTTATCCTATGGGCAAAAGTTGCTACAAATGTTGAGATGGATCCATGACAGGATTTACTCAACACGGGAACATTGGGATCATCACCCAATGAGCTGTAGGGTTATCCATGTGTTGGGCGAAGACTAGAGGGCAGGCAGAATGAGCATAAAAATGGTTTAGTTTTTTGCTCACTGTAAAATTAATTCTAAAAGGGGTCCAGATGTATAATTTGCTTATAGTATCACTCAAATGATTTTGCAAACATCATTTCTCCATAAAATTATCATTTTTTATTTCCTTAAAATAATCATGGGATAAGATTCAATTTTCCATTCTACTTACGTGAATAAAGAGATTAAACAACTTTTGTTGCCATATATCAATATCATATTTTGTGTATTTAAAACTTAGATAAGTTGATTTTTCTAAATTGATTTTTTAATATAATGTTCAAAATTTTATCAACGGTAAAACAATTTAAATAGAATATTTCAAGGAATATTCTTTCTGTCGAAATTGGATGAATTTGGTCCAAATTTAAAAATTTGCAGTTGTAAAATTGGATGTTTTAAAGATTTATGATAAATTCAAATCATTCTTGTAGTTTGCAACCTTTATTTTAATAATCATTTGGATATTCACCACTACTCCTACAATTCATCCTTTTCTATCTAACGTGACAACCTCAATTTCTGCTCCACTTTTTCTCCAATACCCTTCATTGCCCCCACCCCCTGGCCTCAATTGAACCTGCCAACAATCTCAAAATCCAGTGGCATAGCTCTAATTGCAAGAATGATGACATGGCAACCTTACCAATGACATCAATGTTAAATACAGGGCAAAACAATCAACCTTTGACATGGGAGGACATGGACAGATCTTAAAGATCAATTTTGTTTTGTTGTTGCTATCTCCAAACGGGTTCACCAATTCTTCGCCTCTAATATGATTATCTTGGTGGGTTTCCCTTGCAGGTACGGTGGCATTGACCAAGTTTTTGTTCACATAATCTTTTAATGTCTTGGTGAATGGTTCATGGTTTGGATCTTTGCGCTTGTAACAGTTCTTTTGCTTGATTTTGATTGGCGATCATTGGATTTATGTGCTTAGCCTGAAATGTTAGGTTCCTAAATTATTCATGCAGTTCTTTTGTTTTTATGGTTTTTACGTTTTTTTTTTTTTTGCTGATGATCATTGATGGATGTGCCTGATTGAAGTTCCTGAATTCTTGGAATTGTTTTAGTGTGTTTATGAGTTTCTTGGCTTTCTTCTCTTTTCCTTGTTGTAATTGGAGTCATAGGATTACCAGATGATTGATCCTGCAATTCCCGTCAGAATCTGAAGATTTTGTTTTTGAAAAGAAAATCATTTAGCAGTTGAGCTGAAATTTGATTAGCCTATTTCAGAAAATTTGAAAAGCTCTATATCCTCATATCTTATCTGTTTCTATTTGCCTAGTTTACATCACAACTAGATCTCTTCTACAGGACGTAGAAGATGGGTGACGATCTCTCCATGATTGGGGGATTGTTTTTCTTGTGAAGTAAGATCAGTGGTTTCCCTGAGGCTAACTAAGGTTAGATGGGTGATTAATCTCCAACTTTGATGGCCTTAATGTAGTAGGTAAGAGCAACAGTGTTCCCCCAAGCTGATCAGATTGTGCAGGCATGCAAGCAATGAGCTAGTTCAAGGATTTTTTTTTTTTTTTAAATTGAGGAATGGTAGTTACTTAAAGATTGAGTTTTCTTGAGATTGCATTTTGGCGCTATCATCATTTGCAGGCAGAGCGTATTTCCTTGTTTAGCAGGACACCCCTGAATGAGTTAGAACCAGTAGTTGTCCAGGGAAGTCAAGTCAAGCTCTTAGAATTAAGCCTGTGTATTATTAACAGGTGTCGTGAATTTGCCAGTTTTCCGACATTGTTCTGTTGTTGAGTTGTAACGCTGTCTTCTTTGCAGGAGTCGTCCTTTAGGTTGCCCTGAAAGACAAGGACTCTCCCCATCTTTCTTTTATTTATTCTTGGCAATTTAACTAGGACCTGTTCATACGAAATTCTAGCTTATGTGAGATTTGGTAGCCGCTGTTTCCTTTTACTCTTTTAGAGAAACTGTTAAGCCATTACAGTCCCTTGAAGGTTTACAAGGGCAGAAACTTCCATCTGATGTGAACAAGCTGCCAATCGACCAAGTTAAAAAGCAATCACATTAATAGACTCGACAACCAAATAGACACCTTAAGCTAAAGGAAAGGCAAAGATTTAAGTGCTCTTTGTGAACTGATCAGCTATTTGCTGGCTGTAACCAGGCCAATTCTCCCATCACCTTCCCAACTTTAACAACCTTCAAACCCAAAACTATACATGAATTGGACTTAAATGAATCATTCATTCTCATGAAATGTCACAATATTTTGTTGCACATGCAAAATTTAATGGTACTGATGTATTCCTGTAGTTCATTTCAAGTGTCTTGTGCTGTGGCTTGCAGGAAAAGCATATGTTGGAAAAATATCGTGGCAAGCTTGGTTTCAACCATGACATGAATTTCACAAGGGGTGCACGATAGACTGCAGCCATTTTAGCCAAAAATCAAAATTTTCTACATTGAACTGACAAGAATAATTTTACATTCCTGTCCAAGTTCTCAACCAAATGATCAGGGAAGGAGAAGGAAAATTTTGAAATAAATAGAAAAACCAACTAATCATCTATTGCATTTCGCATCCTACCACAATTTGATGCAACCTTATGAATCTTTTGGACTTTCATAGTACAACCCAGCATTTGAGTTGGTACCCTGATGGTGCCCATAGTCACAGCCGGTCTATTGGTTGGCCACAAGAGAATGGTTGTTCTCCATCTGAAAATAAAAAATGAAACACACAAAAAGATTAATCTCCCGGGTGTACATGACAGAATGGTTAACTCTGTGTGCTCCATTGTTGAAATGGCATTATTTAGAAAGCAAAAACTTGATGCATTTAGGTGAGCCCTTCACACAGTCCACGCACTCTGGATCAACACCAAGTTATGCATGCCCATTGCCCAGTCTTACATTCTCCATTCTATTACATTTGTGATACCTACTCTTACAGTAGCAATTCATCAACCTAATAAGCCTGTGTGTGTCGCTTACATGTTGCCAAAAAATATACAGGAGGCCTAAGAGTAAATGGATTTATTACTGTCTTGATCAATAGACAACAACGCTCTAGATGATTAATAGAAAAAAAATACCAATGGATACATGTTGAACAAAGAAAATGCAGCTAGCTTTCTCCCAAATCAAACGGAATTTAAAAAAAAAAAAATAGTAATGAGACACTGTGTAGGTACTGGCTTCTGCAGTATGCAGAAAAGAATGAAATAATCACTATGTATACATATGTTGATTACCACTTTCACCATCAGACGCATCAGCAAGGCTCGCAATAGCATCAATAAGTGCTTGTTCATGCTCCTGCATTACATATAATGGTTAAGCTTCTAGTACTAAGCAATGAAAAGAAAGATATATTCAGGCTGTATGAATCAATCATAAGCTTACTTTCAGCTTCTTCTTTGCCCTCTCAAGCTCCAAAGGATCAGGATGACTTGTATCAAAAACCCTCTCCACCTGTTGAAGGGATCAAAATAAAATTAGCAAACTTATAATGTGAATTATCACAATTTGACATGTAACAGTACGAGCTGGTTCTCCATAAATACCTCCTTTAGTAGGGTCTCTGTGTTAAGCAATTCAATATCATCCAAAAGTTTCTTCGCAATACCATTCTGCGATGGCAAAAATTCTTTTCTGGATTGGCCCTTCACTGGACCTCTGCCTCTTCCAGGACCTGGAGCACGAGCACTACGACTGAAGGATTTCTTTGCTCCATGGAAAACATGCCCTCCTCGATAAGATATGCCTGGGTCCTCACCATCCCATCTGATATCGTCTGGAGAAATCTGTAATCATTTGGAGATCAACATTGTTCACAATAAAATGTATTCAGAAACTATTCTCTGGTAAGAAGTAACAAAAGAATTGGCAGGCTTAGACTATCAGAATAAGCCCCTTTAAAGCAACAACGCAAACAAATATATATAGCAACATGTTCCTATTCTCCACAGTCCACCCTGTTGTTCTTACAAACAGTTCTATTTTCTCTCCCTCCCAATATCCCCTTGTGATTCAAGGTCAAATGTTTTTCAGAGTCCACTTTAGCTTCAGTTGACATCAGACTGAAAAATAATAGCACATATCCATTGTCCACGACAAAGACTGGAACAATATAGGGTCTTAAGTAGACAGCTCACAATCTTCTAAAAGACAAGTTCATCACCTAAGCAACATGGCTCAGGATGTAGAATATTTTTAAGTAAACATGGTTATTCCTAAAACTCTATCAAGTTATCATGGTACCCCTGCCACTCATACTGCTGCCTGTTGTGTCCAATCAATTTATGTACATGACATCAGAGAACCTGCCAAATTTTACGCTATTATATATTGGCCATCTCAATCCACTTCAACATTTCTCTGGTTATCAGCATTTGGCGAAAGTAAGTCATGTTCTCATATCCACATCAAGGGACCTTTTGACAAAAAATATATCACTTCATAGTTTTGGATTATTTGCTTTTTATATCCCTAATTGAAAGGGTGAAAGAATTCATGCTGTTGTTATTTTCAAGTTTCAACTAACCATTACAACCATTGACAAAAGTTGATAATCACATGTGTCATTCTGAGGCTCAGATTTATCAGTTATTTCTAAGTTTGGATTGATTGTCATGTCTAATAAAGTAAAATGGGTGCAAAACACTGCACAAGATCTATCCAATCAAAGAGGCCTGTCGATCTTGCCACATAAGGCATACAGGATGATTGATTTCATAAATCTACCTATATGGTTAATGGTATAGCTTAGACTAAAAAAAATAAGGGAAATCAAGATGATGAAAGAACTTGACATGAAAAGCACAGAAATAAAGGATTGGAGGAAATATAACTGCAGAATTGGAGCATCAGGGATCAATGCATCAGGGAACGCAACCAAAATATAATATAATGGCTCACTTTCTCGCAAATTAAGAGGATAGGCACAACTAACAAGGAAACTACTGAACAACTGCATAAACAACCAAGACTGCTAGGAAAAAAAAAACACCAGCTTCCTTGGACTTCCTGGAAATATAAACTTCAATAGAGTATAATAATACCGAATCACACTGTAATTGCATAAAAACTAAATCATACTGTAATTGCATAAAAACTAAATCACACTGTAATTGCATAAAAACTATCATCCTGCCCCTGAGCACAAAAGTCCCACATCATAAAACAAAAGAATCATAGCAATTGTAACTGCTTCCATGAAAAACCCTTCCCTTTTTTCTGCCTCATAATGAGAAAAGTTATTGAGTAAAAAATGAGGTGATGTTAGCTGCATTTGAACTATATGTTACTTTATTAAGGTTACTAATTATTATTTTCCTTTAGAGAACAATAAGGTTACCAAAGTTAGTAACTGTACTTCAATGCATTATATATCTGTTTTTAGTAATAATCTTGTAGAATAATACAGCCTGTGTTCCATTTTGGTTTAACTTAACACAATGCTTACCATTGAAAGGTCAAAACATCAAAGTTTTGCATTTCCATGGTAACCTTACTGAAATAACAACTAAATAATGATTACAATCAAAAGAACCATTTGTGAGCGATCACTTTCTGTTGACTGTGTCAATCTAATATTTACCCGCTATTAGAAAGGCCTTTCTTTATGAGATTGAGAGAGTATTACTTTATAAGGCTTTCAAATTTCTTCTCCAAAACCAACAAACCTCACTCCAGCCAGAGCCTAGCCAACTTCCAAATTCTAATTGTATGCCAGAACAGATATGTGGACACATAAACCTATAATAAGGTTTTTCTATTTCCTGTATTAAGTTTCACTATTATGCAAATAATATTTATATTAAAATTATATTTTTCAACACATTCTAACGTTATTGCTGCACAAAATAATGACTAGCAGAAACAAATGATTCAGTTCATGCTAAGAAATCATATCCACTTACCTCTTTGAGATCAACCCATTCCCAGGTCTCATTTGCTGTATTTATATCATAAACCAGAGCATGTCGCCCCTGTAAAACAAAATAATAAAATATACCGATGATAGCTTAGCAATCCACAGACTTATTATTAAAATAGTTCTAAAAGGCATTTTACAACTCTTAGCAAGCATTTAAATTTTGAGGCATAAAGCACAATCCTTTTGAACAATCAGATTATGATTATGGGTGCCTTTAAATATCTAATAAAGTTTTTTCCCAATAAAATAGTTGCAACATTGGGAAATAAAAAAGCATCATATGTGCTTTTGACTCACAATTCAAGGAACTGCATAAAGAAGTCCAGAAAGTGCAACTGTGACTAAGCCTTAGGTTTCATACTTATGCTTTCAATGTTACATATTTTTAAAACTTTCATCATCACCTAAAAACTCCAGCTTAAGATAAATCTCAGAGTGAGAGACAGAAAATGTCTTTGTATGCCTTGAACATACCTCAGAGGGATTGTAATCAGTTATTACAGCTACATAGAAGCTGTTGTCTTCAGGCCACCTTGTCCACACTTTCTTTCCAATTAAGGGATCAAAAGTTGCTCCTTCAGCATGTTCATTTGCTGAAAGGCCACCAGCGGAGCCACATTTATTGATTTGCCTATTTCCAGCAGAAACTGCAGAACTATAATGCATAGCCTTTGCTGAGGATACGCCAGGCAATGACTGACCCTGTAAGGGAAAAATGTGAGTAAAACAAAGCAAGCCAAATGGAGGTCAATGTACTCTTTTGCATTTCTGTAATGAAAATAAAATCATTGCTTCGAGCATTTAGTCCCTGTTTCTAAAGCAGCTTTCTAGTTAACATCCAAAGAAGAAAGCTTAATGTACAGAACCATTATGACAGATTCTAAAACCTGTGTGGTTGCACCAGCAATGGTTGGAGAAGTTACCGAGTGAGATCTCTTCTGTTTCTTGCGGGATGCTGAAACAGTTGGACTAGATAAAACACCGTGAACAGGACGAGATGCAATAAGTCTTGAAGACTGGTTGCCACCAGCTTGTCTCCAATCGCTGCTTGCATTGCCCGCATATAACCCATTAAACAGAAGAAGATATAAAAGGCCCATTGAATCAATTACTGGCCCCTAAAAGTCATACTAATTCATGAAGCATTCAAACCTTATCCTTCTGATAATATCATCAGCATTAACCTTGGTCAGAAGCTCTCTATGCTCATCGTCTGACACTCTTAGTTCTTTCCTAAGTTCTGTTATCAACCCTTCCTTTTCCTGAAGACACAGCATATGACAGAGCATGCATATCCAATCAGCATGAAATAAATAGGAACATTTATTAAAAACAATAAGTGCAAATACAAAAAAAAAAAAAGTTAATACCCAAGTAATGGCATCGGATTGAGCTTTAAAAGCACGCAGGACAGAACAGTAAGCTTCTTGCTCAAGTAGATGTATTTGGGCCTCCATGTCAGAATGCAACCTAGAATACAAGGCAGAACCTACGATAGATCTTCCATATCCAGCAATATTACACCCTCTTGAAACTCTAGTTGGATGTGATGGAGGTATATCATCATCAGTACCTGTAGTTATTTCAGATAAAAACCTGCATGATCATGCCGCATAGAACATAAAAGGGCAATAACTAGTCTTCCAATGCTCTTGTTTGAAAGGTTGATTGGCATTAATCTCTTTGACAGGTAACAAATTTACTAGGGGTAAAAGAACAGCTATAAGGAAATGCAATCTAACCAATACACATAAAGAAGAAGGAAATAATTGGATCTATCAAGAATCTTCTTGTATAATATCATAAACTTTAATCAATTTACGCATATAAACAAAAACCAAAGTTTACTAGGTTTGCATATCACAGAGTACAATGTTAAGGGGAACAGAAACAATATGATTAAATTAGAAAAGGATGTGAATATACTGTGTTGACTGTAGCTGGTCTGGTAGGTAACCAGGATCAAAGCTCAACATTGAGCCAAATGAACAATTTAAACAATAATAAAAATCAGAGATGAAAATCTTTGAAACAATTATAAGAAAATAAAATAGTTTATTGCCTGACTAAAAGAACATTAGCTTCTCCTAACAATAATAGATATTTGTTTATTCTTAACTATCAAGTAACCCAAAATCTACCAGAAAAAAAAGAATTCATCTTTTATCATGGATTTCTCTACATTTGAACCCCAATAAGAATTCAAAGAAAAAAAAGCAAACTACACCTAAAAATTGGAAATAAATCCATACCCTGAAAGCAAAATTCAAAGAAAATCATACGACTTCATTGCCCGAATCAAAATATCAAAAATTCAATGACCCCAATTAAACCCTAAACCCTGAATTCCCATCTTACACCCAAAACCCAAAATATCAATGTCCTTATTATCCAATTTTCAAATGTAAACAAAAATCCGCAACCGCGAAAAAGAAAAAAAAAAAAAAAAAAGAAAAGAATTCCAGAAACACCCACATTGTTTAATGCAAGAATAAGACATTAATGAATGCAACATACCACTACCATAGCAAACTTCATAGTCCATACCAAGAAATAGAAAACAAAGCGGGAAAATATCTTTTCTTCGTTGAAGAAAAACACCACCAAGAAACCCTAACGAGAAATTGCCCCGAGGAAGAGAGATTCAAGGTTGAAGCTGCTGAGGATGTGCTCCAATGCAACGCAAAGCCAACTTAAAGTAGAGAGATTTAAAGAGAAAGTAGGAAGCCTCTGTTTTCCTCTTGTTTTGAAAGGCTTTGATTGGTTTTTATAGAGAGAGGAGCGAGAGACAGATCGGTTAACTTAACGGAGAGGGACAGGGACAGGGAGAGGAGGGACTTACGGACTTGAAACTTCACTTTCAGGTTTTCAAAGATCCGTTGCTGTCAGTTTTTTTTTTTTTTTTTAAGGTTGGGTTGTTTTGTTGTTGTCAGTTTCGGTCCAGTTCGGACATGTTTTGGTCCAAAATCTTTGTATCAGTGAATTTTCTTTGGGCTTTTTGGGCTTATATTTTAGCGAAGATTGTGGTTTAGGCCTTTTGGGCTTTAAGGCTTTTCTTTTTTGGGCTTTATTACTTGAAATGTTTTTAATTTCGTACAAAATATAAGTCGTGAAATCCGTAAAACTGTGGTCCAAAATATTTGTAATTGAACAATCCCAATAGTGAAAATTTTGGGCTTTGCATAGGCTCAGATCTTTGCCTGCAAAGGTTATGGTTTTGGGCTCAAGCTAACAGTTGAAGCTAATGCTGAAGATTCATGATTTATTTTTCTTTTTTTTAGCGTTAATTTAGCATCGATGTTTCGGTGGCAAAAAATTTAAATTATAAAAATTATATTTAAAAAGTGTAATAAAAAATATGGTTAAAAATTTTGAGTCTTTAGTATTATTATGAAAAAAATACTGTAAGTAATTGAAATTTCTAAAAAGATATGTATAAAATAATAAAAAATTAAAAATATAAGGTAATATAATAATTTTTTATTTCAAAATATTTTTTCATTATAAAAATACTTTTTGAGTAGTTTTTTAGTTTGGATTGCAAAACAAATTTTTAATCTGAAAAAACTATTTTTTTATTGTTTAACATTGAGATTGGATCAAAAATAATTTTTAAATATGAAAACTACTTTTAACAGTAATACTAAATTAAACCTTAATCTTATGCAAACATGATACCTAAAAAAATATATAAAAAAAAGGAAGATGACAAATGTTTTTTTTTATTATTTTATAAATAATTTTAAAATTTAAATGTCAACAATTATAATTTTTTTTAATTATTTTTAAACTGCAGCCTCTTCTGTTAAAAATGGTGAAGCAGTAACATGGCAGTCAAGAGTCTCGGTCGTCATATCTCTTGATTGCTATAGAAATTGTCAGAGTTGTTGAATCCCACGTTTCATTCCTATCTTATAGCCTAATCTGTCTTAGGAAAATCCATCAGAAAAATATACTAATTGAGCTTTGGGGAATCAATCCTGTTAAAGAGCAAGTAAATGTATATACAGCCAATGAGAAATCACATTTAGCTGACAAACCAGCTTTGTCTAGTTTGGGTCAAAGTCCCCTTCACATGCTATTTTTAAAAACTCAATGTTAGCTTCCGATCCCTTTGATTAACCAAATTTAGTCTATGGTTCCCACATTTCATATTTCTGTAGCTAGGAAGGGTGGGAATGTGGGATATACCATGGGTGACTTTTAACAGAATTTAGCAAGATTAAAGATATATAATAGAGGTGTTAAAAGATGATGATATACTACTAAACAAGTAAATTCTTTTTATAAAAGAGATGCAGTCTTGAAATAAAAAAAAAATACAATTTTAAATTTTAAATTTATTGAATATCACGTTTTAAAGTTGATTGTATATAAATCAATTGAATTAAATTTTAAATTTAATCACATTATAATTTCTGAAGTGAAAAGATGGTGAAAATTAAAGGTGAATTAGCATAATTAAAATTTATCAGTATTGACTTATAGAAGGTATAGAACTAGCTAGCTTCAAAGCTAAATGAAGAACATGAATCCTCAAGGTATGACTGTGATTCACGCGGCGTGTCACATGATTTTGATAGTTTAATCTTTCCGTTGCAGAATGAAGCCAGAAACCATAATAGTCAATTCAGCATCACATGATTGGCAGCTTCAAAGTTCAAAGGTGGTGAAAGAGGATGAGAAAAAGTACCATTTAACATAATTATTATAGTATGAAATATACACAGCATCTTCAATAATGAACATAATATAGACTTCCCATTGTTTTTTGACGAGGTTGAATCTGATACAGGACAAGATCATATAAACCCACTTGTTTTTTCGTTTTATTTGTTTAATTAGATAGTCAAATTTAAGTAAACATGCATACATAAAAAGCTTGAAAGCTTATTCCAATTTTCAACTTCATATTTAATGTTAATTCTTACCGAAGAGGTTTATCTTTACATTGATGAGTGAAATTTTTTTTTTTTTTTATTTCAAGGGGACAAAACCTTACATCAAAAGAGAATGAGAAGAGATTAGAGTCAAACCTCAACCCTATATCTTTTTTAAGTCTTACTTGATCTTAAAAATAATTGATGATTAAAATTAACTCAAAGCAATGGTTATTTTATTGAACTTTGTTGTCTTTTCATAATTCTAGAAAAACACAAAGGTATCATGAATTCCCATCTTGGAAAAATACAATCAATCATCAATGTTTTGCTAAATTAAATTAAACTAAAATTATTTTAAGCTAGCTAGTGGGTTATGGCAAACCACGTGCAAAAGAACACGCATGCATGCTGCCCTTATAAACCTGCTCCAAGTTTTAGATCATTTGAATGCTTGATTTCTAATCCACTATTACTCTTTTTTCTTCACTGAATTCCACTCTGATGAAGATCAATTCCATAAACTTGACTGCTTTCTTTGTCTTAATTCTAGTTCACATCCTCATCAGTTGCTCTTCCTTGTGTCTCTGCCATGGAGAGGTTCCTCCCGGAGAAAGAAATGATCAGATTTCAAGAAAGCTACTGTCATCTGTGGCTTCATTTCCTACTGGTCAAAGCAAGTTGAATGCAGCCATGAAAGAGCCCAAGAAAGCTGTGGAGCCAAGTCTAAGGAAAGCACCACCCAGCGTCCCAAATCCTACCCAGAACTAGCAAATTTATAGTACATGATCCGGAGATCTCTCAACCAAGAATAAAGGATTCACTGTTTTTTTGTTCAGTTTTTTTTTTCAAGCTTTGGGTCTTTAATTTTGGCCTTCCTATTTATAGTGCTTCCTTTAATTAAGTAGGAGATGTGATAGAGAATTGTATGTAAATTATGCATGTAAATAAAGACTTGAATTAGATAATTCATTTGTTTCTATTTGCTTTAATCTTTCTGAATCTTTAGTTAATTTATTTCTCAAACTTGCTCGAAGTTGTTGATCAACAGAAATCAGAAGGCATAAATATTCCAGGCAATTAGTGCTTGAAGCCTGTTTGCTGCAAGATATAGCTCTTCAGTCTTGGAATTCATGAAATAGTTTCATTACTTAATTATCTGTTTCTGATCAGTGATCATCACTGACAGTTTTTTCTTGGTAATTATTATTGGTAAATAAACGACTTACAACCTGAGACCTGACAGTAATTTTTTTTTCTGAATGAAACTAGTTGTTATGCGATTACATTTAAAAGTTGAATTGCAGCAGCTCATGTCTCCACTTCAATGGAGTTGATCCTGCAGGCCAAGGTTCAATCCTGGCTCCAGCCTGAAACTTATTGTTAACCAAACAAAACATAGTTTTTCAATATGCAAATCAAAAAAAAAAAAAACCCTAAGGAGATGTTTTTACTATAATTGAGCTTTACTCAAACACTGAAGGAGATAGGGAGTCGTAATTCTTTCTTCCTAGGCCTATAATTAGCAGGAGCTATCAAACACACCAAACCACGTGCTCCTTAATCTTTAATTAATTCAAGTCTTGGCTTTACCATTGTTGTCTGAATATTTGGTCAATGGTTTTAGAGAGTGATGATGAACGTAGACTGGGGTCATTGAAGATTGAACCATGACTTTCTGTCGGTTTATGAGAAAAAATGAGCACCCAGCCAGCCCCAAGAATTAGATGGAAAGTGAAGAACTGCATGTTGGGTTGTCACCTTCTATTGTGTCGGATTTGGCTATCCATCCAACTTTTAGGCGTAACGAGCTACTCTTTACAACCCAAAAGGTAGAATATAAATATAAATATATATATATATATATATATAAGATTGTAATACATTAATCGCCGCATATAATACATTAATCGCCGCATACATTATTATAATTATCATAGCCTATGTAATTTTGGGAATATAATGTGTTTTACAAGATTCTCTATCTCCATTGATTATGCTTGTTTATTTAATTTTGAGTTTATTTTTTATTATGTAATTCAATATTACATTACGTAGATGATAGCAAATATTGTAATTGTTTATTTTTTAAAAAAATTAATAGACTTATCAGATAAAATTTTTTATGATTATCGGGATCGGTTTCGCTCGATTCAAGTTTATGTAAGAAGCATGGTGTAAAAAGAAATTAAAATAGTCTTTGACAAATTTTATGTAAAAGTATTAGAGAATTTTAAAAAATATTTTATGATATTTTTATATTTAATAGTTAAAAATTAAAATATTCAACTTTACTAAAATAAATCACAGGTTTTTATATAAAAATAAATAAATAAAATTAAGAGATGGTTTTGTTAATTAAAAATAAAAATAAATCAAAATCAAAACAGATATTTTATCAAACAAAAAAGATGAATATGAAATAATATTATGTTCTTATAATTTTATGAATTATTAAAAGGTAAAGTGAAAATGTAAAAAAAATTCATTAAATATTTTTTATTAAACATTATCATTTTTTGAAAAAAAAAAAGTTAAAAATCTTAAATTTTTTAGAATAATAGAGGATTATGGTAAATCCAACCAAAGGCAGGTTATAGATATTGGGCCAACAGAGGGTTCCTTTTTCTTCTACAAGAAATGCTGAAGCTCAATTGAGGTCTGAATAAAAGACTGGTTGTTCTAATCAGCCCATAACCGTGATGAGCAAAGCCCGTCTCTCGAGCTTTGAATCAAGGAAGGCCTATATCTTGAAATTGCAAAATGTTTTAAAATCATTTATTTTTTTTATTATGCATGCATAATAATTTTTTATCTGTTTGGTTTAAGAAAATGAAAAATGGAAAATGGTACAAGAAACATGTTTGGTTTTTTTTTGAACAAATTTATCACCATATTTCAAAATTTGAAATAAATTAGACTATTCAATAAAAAATTATGTCAGAAACTGTTTTACAGTTTAAATAATATTTTTTAAAAGATTATGAAGCCAATTTTCAAAATTTTTTA